GCTTGCTTTCATCCTGAGCTCATTAAAACTCCTTTGCCGCGGTGAAAGCTGCCTGAATTTTCTAAAATCCCAACGATATGTCACCATAGCCCGATTCTGTGCCTATTGAGGTGCCGCGGCCTCGATGGTATGTCACCACAGCGCGATTCCACACCTACTGGGGAGCCGCGGCCTCGATGGTATGTCACCACAGCGCGATTCCACACCTACTGGGGAGCCGCGGCCTCGATGGTATGTCACCACAGCGCGATGCCACACCTACCGGGGTGCCGCGGCCTCGATGGTATATCACCACAGCCCGATTCTACACCTATTGGGGTGCCGCGGCCTCGATGGTATGTCACCACAGCCCGATTCTACACCTATTAGGGAGCCGCGGCCTCGATGGTATGTCACCACAGCGCGATTCTACACCTATTGGGGTGCCGCGGCCTCGATGGTATGTCACCACAGCCCGATTCTACACCTATTAGGGAGCCGCGGCCTCGATGGTATGTCACCACAGCGCGATTCTACACCTATTGGGGTGCCGCGGCCTCGATGGTATGTCACCACAGCCCGATTCTACACCTACTGGGGTGCCGCGGCCTCGATGGTATGTCACCACAGCGCAATTCTACACCTATTGGGGTGCCGCGGCCTCGATGGTATGTCACCACAGCCCGATTCTACACCTATTGGGGAGCCGCGGCCTCGATGAGCCCCTGGAGTTTCCCCTGCGTGATGGAACTGTTGGAGGGCTGGGTGGTATGAACAAGGTCGCTTGTACTCACCAATTATTTGGGATTTTCCAAAGCTCGCAGTAACGAACAAACCTTATGGCCGTTTCTCATATGTCACCAGCTACCACCTGGCTCGTACCATAAAACGATAAAGCGGTGAGAGGGTAGCAGAAATCATGTCGGGTACTTTCGTCAGTATGTTGACCATCCCCAGCATCGAGCAAATATTCGCCGGTATGCTGACCATCCCCAGCATCAAGCAAATATTCGCCAGTATGTTGACCATCCCCAGCATCGAGCGAATATTCGCCAGTATGTTGACCATCCCCAGCATCCAGCGAATATTCGCCAGTATGTTGACCATCCCCAGCATCCAGCGAATATTCGCCGGTATGTTGACCATCCCCAGCATCCAGCGAATATTCGCCAGTATGTTGACCATCACCAGCATCGAGCAAATATTCGCCAGTATGTTGACCATCCCCAGCATCCAGCGAATATTCGCCAATATGTTGACCATCCCCAGCATCCAGCGAATATTCGCCGGTATGTTGACCATCCCCAGCATCCAGCGAATATTCGCCAGTATGTTGACCATCACCAGCATCGAGCAAATATTCGCCAGTATGTTGACCATCCCCAGCATCCAGCGAATATTCGCCAGTATGTTGACCATCCCCAGCATCCAGCGAATATTCGCCAGTATGTTGACCATCCCCAGCATCGAGCAAATATTCGCCAGTATGCTCACCATCCACGGCATCGAGTGAATATCAGCATGCGTTTGATGAATTGGATGATACGCTCCCGGTGTTAACTTCGCTTGCTATGGCACTTGCTGTTTTTTAGGGGCGCTAAGAGGCTGTGCAAAGAATTTCTACAACCTGTCCGTCCGGTTTGAAGTGATGTGGACAAAGGCGGAGAAAATAAACGAAACAGAGGTGGTGAATCACGTGCGGTTCAAGTGAGTGTGGTCCGACCAGCTACATCAGGTGACTCGGTGTGGTCTCTTCAGCGTGAATCTGCATCTGAAGGTCGTAACGCTCCCGCATGGTTAAGGGCTGATAATGTTTGCAGACGCTGCTGCGAAAAACTCGCAAACCAAATAGCTACAGGAGCCAACGCAACTTCATAATGCTTCTGTGAAAGATTTCGCGTACAAAGCATTCGTGGAAAAATGTCTTGCCGCACCTGCAGTATTGGAGCCGTGGCTTCTAAGCTGGAGGTCCGGCAGGTCATCGCCCATTCCGCTGACGCTACCAGTGCGGCAGGGTGACCCAAGTGGGTCAGATTGACTCTCCGACCCTGGACCTGGTGACGATGGAGCGGGCCAAGTCGGCCATGACGGTGGCATTACCGGCCTCGCTGGCGCCGGCAGCCGTCAACTTCGTCAGCACCAACGAGTTCTCCGAAATCCATCCCTACCACTTCATCTTCGACAAGTAAGGATCCGCCTCTGATCACGCCTCAGACTCGCCACTGGGGGACGGCGACCTGGCACTGGCACGTTCTGCCTATCACGGTAGGACGCTCGTGACTGCGTGCACCTATGCGTGGTCCAATGCGTAAGCATCGCAGCACAGTTATCTAAACGTTCGGACAATGGTGTGGCAGGTCTAACGCGGTATTCGCGATGTTTTAAATGTTTATCTGTAACTTCCTAAAATTCGTTGACGAATCCCCACAGACGTTACGGCTGTTACGAACGACCGCCGACTTTAATGCGTGCCATTTAGAATCCGTTGTCGTGTCATGCACGGTGCAATACCTGACGACAGCTTCGACCCAAGTTTGATCAGTATAAGTTCAATATGTCCTCTCATTAGCTTATACACAATGTCTGATCGCTGCCGGTGAACTCCAGTTCGCCTGTCCTTCCTGCTCTCCGAATGGCAGTTTGCTAGCCAATAATTTTTCTACGTAGCAAACATTTGCAATTGTCTGTCAGAATAGGCAGTATGACAGCTCAAACAAAAGACAGTAGTAATAGCTTTATTTCCCGAAGAAAGACCAGGAGAATGGAGATATAGATGCATTGACGCATCTATATCCCCATTCTCCTGGTTTTTCTCCGATAACTGAAGCTAAGCTTCTGTCTTACCTATATGACATATGTTCCTCGCAGATGCACTTAACAAGTTACAGGATGACAACTCCTCTCAAATAACTCACCGCCAAAGCACCGGTCGTGGGATTCCCCCGGTGGCGTATCTGCCAGCCAGATCATTTGACGACGGTTGGCTCTGCGACCCTAACGCTGTTCCAACGTAGTCAGACCCACCCCAAAGCCGGCCAGGTCATCAGACAGCTAACCAGCCACGCCCAGGTCAGCAGGCAGCTGACGCAGCGGCGCTTCCAGGTCGCTGACCGTGCAGCAGTACGGCTTCGGCATCAGCGTACTCTGTCCAGAAGTGACGTCATTCCCGGCCGTCGATCAGCTGCTGGAGCTGGTCTGGCCGTACACCACCTTCAACTACGAGAACGTCGAGCGCTTCAAGAACCTGGTGTTCCAGTTCGCCGTGACCAAGGGCACGGCCAAGACACGGGGGACTGTACTGAGAGGTAACGCGACGGCATCGGCTGGCGACGCGTGTCTGGCGCTGCCGCCGTGGTAATTATTCCGACCGTCGTAATGATGCGACGGTCCGTGGCTGAGTCAGAGAGTCTATGGCGGCTGGACAGGCGTGCTGGGTACTTTGAGGCAAACTGGAGATAAGGTGTTGGATTTTATACGGTGCCTGTCCTTCCTACCAGCGTAAAAGGCAGACGACGCTGTATAGTCTCAGAAGCCGACTGAGTCGTTCAGCCCCAACGGCGTGCGATATCACAGGCTGGCTCGGCGGACTACTCAGGAGATGATATAAATTGGTGGTGCATAATCAGCGCACCAGACATGGCGACATATGATGTCGGAAATTAACACCCAATACGATGCGGTCACCTGTCTTGGATTTAGAGGTTATACTCAGCTGCATATTGACGGAACGATCTAAGACGTTATAAAAAATGGACGGAGAGTGTTCTAAAATAAGAAATAGGTTTGCAGCGTTCATGTTACGGCGGCATGTATATATATATATATATATATATATATATATATATATATATATATATATATATATATATATATATATACATGTGTGTGTGTGTGTGTGTGTGTGTGGTGTGTGTGTGTGTGTGTGTGTGTGTGGTGTGTGTGTGTGTGGGTGTGTTGTGGTGTGTGTGTGTGTGTGTGTGTGTGTGTGTGTGGTGTGTTGTGTGTGTGTGTGTGTGGTGTGTGTGGTGGTGTGTGTGTGTGTGTGTGTGTGTGTGGTTGTGTGTGTGTGTGTGTGGTGTGTGTGTGTGTGTGTGTGTGTGTGTGTGTGTGTGTGTGTGTGTGTGTGTGTGTGTGTGTGTGTGTGTGTGTGTGTGTGTGTGTGTGTGTGTGTGTGTGTGTGTGTGTGTGTGTGTGTGTGTGTGTGTGTGTGTGTGTGTGTGTGTGTGTGTGTGTGTGTGTGTGTGTGTGTGTGTGTGTGTGTGGTGTGTGTGTGTGTGTGTGGTGTGTGTGTGTGTGTGTGTGTGTGTGTGGTGTGTGTGTGTGTGTGTGTGTGTGTGTGTGTGTGTGTGTGTGTGTGTGTGTGTGTGTGTGTGTGTGTGTGTGTGTGTGTGTGGTGTGTGTGTGTGTGTGGTGTGTGTGTGTGTGTGTGTGTGTGTGTGTGTGTGTGTGTGTGTGTGTGTGTGGTGTGTGTGTGTGTGTGTGTGTGTGTGTGTGTGTGTGTGTGCTCTTGTGTGCCGTGAAAGCAGAGGACCAAATCCGGTTACACACCCAACAACCCGTCACTGCCGAGGTCCGGTATTCACTACCGAGGTCCAAATGCCGGACCTCGGTTTTCAGAGGCCTTAAATGAGATATTTAGTCTTGTTTGAACATGTTTATTTGATTTTCAGCTGGTCCTCGAAAAACGTAATTACACGCATTTTTACTTCCGGTTGTGTAAAGTGTGTTATCTTGGACGAACTGCGCGCGTGTGTAAGTTTTTCAGGTGGCAAGGTCACGTGGAAAAGAATAGAGATGAATAAGGAAATGCGAAATCGCGCTGCTCCATGATATGGTCTCATCACTTGTAAGTTGTTTGCGTTTGGTATAAGCATTTAAATCACATTGCATCACGTTGAAACTGGTGATGAAAGATATTAACGTAAATTGTGTTAAGTCACATGGGATACATATCTCTATCGCCGCCATTGCGCGTTCTTGGAACGAGCGCGACGGTGACATTGCGGTGTGCGGCCTCTCGGACGAGAAGACTGGGCTCACGTTGGATGCAAGTTATTGTCGTCCGGCAAGGTTTTAAAAAGTGAGTAGTAAATATTCGAAAGGGATTGGTAAACCCTGTTTACCGACAACTGTAGCTAATGGAGGACTGATCTGCCTTGGTTGATTAGAGAATGGTGTGCTGATAAGGATAGTTGCTGAAGTGGCAAACATTGTGTTAGCTTTTGAAGGTGGTTGAAGAGATTGACTTCAGCAATATTATGCAACTGTCTGGGTAGGTTTATCACGCTAGACCAGACGTTTGTAAGGGGGATGCTTGCAGTTTTTCTCATGCATTTGCAGTGGGTGTTGTATTACATTTAAAAAATGTTGCCGTTAGGTACTTACAGACATGTTCCCCAACCCCCTAGAACAACACGTTTTCAGAGGCTTTGGGCATCAATTTAGCCTTGAAGGGGAAATCATTACAAACATAAGGTTTTCCATACATCGGAACCTTAGTGTGTGGTAGATACCAGAGCATAAAAGGGTGTGTGCCACATTTGTATGGGTTTCAATTGAAATTAGCCATCTCGAAGATCATTCAGTATGTTACACAGTCCTGCCATTCTTAAGCACCCTTCTAATTTTGTAAACCTTTCTAGTTTCTGATCTACACACCTGCAAAGGTGCGAATATTATTTCGTGATGACTATTTCAAGGTCACCCAGGCACCCACAACGCGTAATGTCTTCAAATGCTGCCATTTCATTGGCCATGGGGCGATTAAGGCAAGCCATCATATGACCGTTACGTCGTTCATATCCGGCTTTGTGAATACATTTTCAGACGTAACCACCGTCGGTTGGCTCAAAGCAATGTTGTACAAGATTACGTAAGTTGTTCAGTGCATTAGCATTAGCAGAGGAGCATTTTTCACATAGCTAAGACAATATTAATAGCCTTATTCGTCGAAGAAAAACCGGGAGAATAAAGATATAGTTGAATTGATATTTCGGCAACATGCCTATATCGAAAAAGTAGCAGAAATAAATTCAAAATTGCCTGCTGGTGGCCCTACCCGATTTTTCAGCTTTTTTGGAAATAGAAAGCCAGTTTTTACAGGACACCAACTCTTAGAGGATTAAACAAAAAGTTATTGCTAGCCGTTACCACGATACGGTGCTTATCTAATAATTAGAATAGGCGACAATACGTGTACATGCAAACTAATTCAAGCAAGTAGGCGTCATGCATTACGCTTCATTCAAACATACAAACGAGTTGAGGTTAACAGGTATCACAGTCGCGCATCAATTATACATGCAAGCGATTTCAACAGAACAGACATCGCACATCACGCGTCAGGCGTCACTTCACATGTTAACTATTTTAAGCTAGCACACATCGCATATAAAGGCACATATCATGTTCGCAAAATCGGCCAGGATGAGCTTTGTATGTTAAAATTTGGTCGCTGATTTTTTGCAAGAATAGATTAAATTTTTCCCTACCTGGGTGGTCCTCTGCTCTGTAGACGACTTTGGGCTCTAAAAGGGGCATAGGGTCCATACCTCCCTCGATTTCAGCCTGAGCATGTTTTGCCAAAAAATGGTCACCGAAAGGGGTATTCCCTGTTTTGTTTGAGTCTATGTCGGGAAGTCCATACGTCCCTCACGTTTAAAATACAATAAACACCTCCGGGGCGCTAAAAACAAAAACAAAAATACTTACTTAGTCCTTAGTTAATCTCCACCCACTGAATAATTTTTAGCATTGTTGCTGTTTCAGGTGATGTTATAGCTACTGGACATTGAAGCGATTGAAGACCAGAAAGCCTTAGTGCGACCGGCTTGATTCAGGTCAGTTGATGTCAGGAAAGTCAAATTATTTAGGAAATGACTACTCTGAAGAGGGTGTGAATCATTTGTGACATGTAGAATATGCTGTCATCAGCTCTAACCTAGCATTTCATGCATGCTTTTCTTTCTCTATCTACCCCATCACATTGTCCAACACTGCCAACACCGCTGCATCGTCCGACCCCCACAAATATGCCACTACACTGCCTGGCTCCACCATCCCTATCAGTGCCTTAACCAGTAGGATGTCATTACAGTGCATGACACCATGCACCCCACCACAATGTCTGGGTCTACCCATCCCACCATGGTGTCTGACCCCTCCAGCTCCATGCGAGTGTCGGCTCCATGCAGCTGACCCCATTGCCCTGCCAGTTTCACCAGTGTCTGATCCTGCCAACACCACCAATGTCTGCCTCCTCCCCCCCCCCCCCCCCCCACCATTGTGTGACCATAACAGCTCCTACATGGTGCGTGACCTCAGTGTAACGCCGTTTTGGTATCTCATTCCACCATCCTCATCGCTGGTCTACGCAAGCACGTGTCGACTGTACCAGCCCCACTTTATTCTGCAACCAACGCCACCACCACCTGCACCAACACCACTAACATATCGCGGCCTGCAATTATGTAGGTACACCCGCATCCGCGTTATTGAATGGTCTTGTCAACATTTAGTGCTCCTTCTCTGTGGCACCACCGGTGCATGGCGTCATTCTTTAATGAAACATGCAAAAACATTTTTGTTCTTAGGTGGCCTATATGTATACCATTGGGAGAGTTAAAGAAGTTTAGTCCTCTAAAAGAAGTCCTCCGGAAAGTTTACTGCAACAAAGGTAACTCGGGCTATATTTGGGATGCTTAAGGACTTACGCGCAACAGCATTTTCGTATGCTATTTGCAATATGGAGCATGATATTCTTCGGGAAGGACAGATTTTGGGGCGTTCGGGTCAAGAGTTCGAGCTCATGGGTCCTCGAGAATATTTACCGCGGGCACGGCTACCCGAAGAACAATGAGAAGCATTGGCGATGGTGGAAATAGGCCTCGTAAGCAGTTTCCCTGCCAAATTCGAACAGGTGGGATGCAGAAGTTGCTTTAAAAAGTTTTTAGTCACTGGCAGTCTCGGTTTTTTCATTGTATGTGAAATGTGTATGGCTTAGGATGCTTGCTGCAACATAGTTTCTTTAATTATTTCCCATGAATGGGACGATTGAACCAAGCCTTGGATCATTACTATATGTTGTTTTACGCATTTTACGACGGGATCAATGATATATATATATATATATATATATATATAATATACATCACCAACGCCGGTTTGTTTGCGCGGGAATCACCGACGCTTTCATGAGCGTGGGGTCCGGCCGCTCACTGAACATAGCTTGTGGTAGCGGGTTTGGCTGCCACATCCGGCTCCGGGCCATAACGGTGTTGCCAAAAATCCATCGAGGGGACACTAAGCATGGTTCTGGTCTGCGCACTCCGGGTAGACCAAAATGCCTGCGAAGAGACCTCGTCTGCGGGGGCTAGACAGACGAGAGTCTCGCAATGGCGTGGAGAAGCCCATCCGCAGCAAGGAGGGGTGTCGGTCTTCCAGCGTGTCACGTTGTCAAAAACAGTTGCGGCGTTGGTGTGCATTGGGGCTGCCTCCTATCTGTTTCGCGGCCAGTATCACGGTGTGACGTCGGATAGTTTCAAATGCGATGGTCAGGTCAGCGGTTTGGTTGTCTGGTCTTTTTGTAATTTTTGTTGATGCATTCACATATAGCGTGCAATCACACTCACAATACGCACTCGATCCAAAATCATCTATCAAATATATCATAATGTTTGCATCATGGCGCACACTACCTTCATCCTGCACTACCCGCGATATGGCAGTGGTCAGAAAACTGTCCACTCTTACCAACCAGCCAGTAGACATACACTTGGGCTAGGGGGGCGTACTCGCCCGGGGGCTGGGATGACCGTCTGTGGGCCACCGCCGCCTGTCTGTCGTAGTTTCGGCATTTCTTATTGATGCATTGTTTGAGCTTAGAGGCAATAAGCTTTTTACCACAACTCGTTTCGGTTATGCCTCGCTGTCTTACGACTGTTAACCGTATGGCGTGCATGAACAGCATGGCATTGACAGGGCGTAGTAAGCCTAGGACATCAGGGCATGGACTCGCATCTGCCGCATGCGGTCAGCGATGATACTGGAACTGTTGCTCTTCTCTAAATCGATTCCCATCGCAGCTGTGCGTGCATGGCTACAGGAATGAAGACAGGCACGCCATAGTTTGCCAACGGGCGCGCGTACCATGCATGAGGGCCGTCCGAATCACGGTAGCTGCTGATCGCGTTGACGATGAATGTTGACGACTCTGCTGTTGTTGGCCTAATTTCAGGTTAAGTTCGGCTGCGTGGCTAGAGCTTAGTACGATTTATTGTTGTCCCCCTCTCTCCGCCCCCATCGCCGCCCCATCACTTCCTTCTTCTTGACGGCAGTGCATGAGGTCTAACAAGATGGGTAATATGTACGCGGACGGGAGGCCTGTGGCCTCCGATATTCATTCACGGATTTGCTGCGAACTGGAAAGCTATCTTTCGGGACACGACTATTGCACAGCTATTTTAATTCCACCACCCGTGAGCCATCAGCGTGGTGCATGCCCACGCTTCTGAACACAAGCACAACTTTCTTTCACGTGGGGGTCACAATCCTGTTCTGAACTGAAATTTCTCATATCTCACCCGTTTTCGGCTTTCCAGATTACTCCCCGAGAGCGACACTCGTTAAGGATGCGAGTATTTGAAGTTCCGCTTTCAAGCATTGGATGGCCTGCAAATTACCATTGGAGCCAAACTGTATACATTTTCTAGATGATCTTAAATACGGAGCGGTATTCTAAAGATGTAGTTGTGCAGTGTGTAGTTCGTAGATTACGAAACAACGGAGCGAGAATACAGTTGGCGTTCCGTTTTGGGTCAGTTATTTTGTTTTCCTTTTTCCATGTTTTAAAGTCGCTGTGCTTTATGCTCAGGATCGAAGCAAAATGTACAGGAGTAGGCTGCGATGTGATGCGTGTTGTATAAAACCAATAAACCAAAAATGGCATCTCTGTCTGCAAAGGGAAAAATCTGGACGAGGTCGACTACCTCAACAGCGCACCAATGGCAGAAGAGGACGATCCGGAGGACATGGGTGAAGACGATTGTGTGGTGGAGGTCGCAAATGTCCTACCTGGACAAAAAGCCAAGAGGGGAAGGGAGACTTGTTTCCGGAGGAGACATCTTCACATCGAGAGACTAACAATGACGCTCAGGAAAAAAATCACCACTGGCAAAAAAGACGTATTGCCTGGTGCAATGCGGAAAAGGCAGCTGTGATGAGGCAGCTTGGCATGTTTGTTAGCCACATGGAGGTTTCTGGCCAAGCTGCATGCTTACGTGCCCTGTCAGCAGAAAATGCTCTGTCCTAGCGCTCATGGAGAGATGTTAAATCCATGTCCATAACGTGATTGTTAGAGCACGTCGTAAGGCGAAATGAGTCTCAGTGACTTACACATTAGATGTCGACTTCGTTCACGTTTGGATGATGCTCGCTAGTAAATTCCGCAACGACAAAAACGATCTCCTTGTTGTTGCTCCCGTTTATAGTAGCAATCTGTGTAGGTGGAGCTGATGAACGGTGAAAAAGCAGTGCTCACCAAGGGCAGTATGGCGAGATTTGCAATTCTGGGCGGAAGATGACACCTAAGCACGGAAATAGACCCACCCCATTGGTAAAAATGCGTTATACCTGAATGTCAGTTTGGAAGCAAATTAGGTGTGTCATTCTCCTGTCGCATCTTTCCAATACAGGATTCAATGCAAATGCTTCTTTCTCTACGTCATTTTTGAGATCCGTTGGCAAATCTGACACCACTACACTTAACCAAAGCACACTTGTTACATTGGGAAGTGGTGGGCAACAGGGGCCTTTGACTAGTTTTTGAAGACTGGAATGGGCGCGTGGGCGTCGAGCACGAAATCTCGCATCAGCCAAACAGCCGACATGTTTATGAGGCAGCTCGTTTGGCTTCAGTGACTGACTGCAATGACTGTAACGACTGACTCATTGATTTTAGTGTTGCACGGTCCTCCTTCCTCGGTCAGCAGCTGATTGCTACATCCCGCCGCACCATAGATTCCACTTGTATGAAGAAAGTGCATATGCGTAATTCACACGCATATAAAAAACCCAACACACGCAAGCCGTGGGAAAGGCACATTTAACAGGTAGCGTGAGCACGTGACTCACAGTTACACCAACAGCGAACCATTAACCCACACTCAGTCGCATAAGAGGCCATCATTAAGTAGACCGCTGCATTGACGCCGGCACAAGCCGTATCCCAAGCGCGGGCTACAAACTGTACCCCACCAATCGAGGCCGCCGCGCACTCGCGCCGCCAGTCACATCCACAGCATTAGAGGCTGTGTACTGTCGCCCTAAGACACCGGGGTTCGCGAGCAGGGTCGAGCAACATGGGCTTTGTATACTGACTGGAACGCCGACAGTGTAGAAGAGACTGTCGGAGTCACCTGCGAATGAGATGAACGGCGGCTGCCCACCGAAGCACCTGAAACTGCAGTAGCTCGGTCAGCAGATAAATAGTTCCAGCAGCACCTCGAGTCAATTTTTCCACCACTGTCAGGCGCGTCGCCTCCGTTGCCCGCTCCTCAGCCCCGGCCGCCCTCTGCTGCAACCGTTGCAACAGCAGAAGCTTCGGGAAAACCGCCGTCGAGTAGTGTGCCGCCGGCCGGGTCATTGATGATGCTTTAGCACTATTAGCACTATTAGTGCTAAAGGGTCATGGAAACCCAAAAGGCGTTGGTTGCCCTTTCTCCTACTCTTACCGGGCCGTTGGGGACGGAAAACATTTAGTGTCCCGGGTGTCCAGCCGTCGGGGCAAACACTCATCGGGTAGTTTAATGAACTGCAGTCATTTGTTATGCGGTCCGAGGCGATTCCACAGCATGGAGCCAATGTCGTATGGAGGTCGATGGAGCCAAAATCCGTTGGTGATATCAACCCGCCTGGGGAGGGCCTTTTCATGAAGAGTGTTCAGCAGGTATTAACATGGCGTATGCTACTATTTATCCGACTTGATTTAGACTTTAACGGGACGGCCGGAAAGTGCACCATGATAAAATAGAGTAAAACGATTTTTATATTATAGATGAATGATTTAAGCAGCAGAAAGCCTACAATCCGCCGTTATTTGCCTATATCTGAACGCAAACCAACAGCCTGACGCGCAAGCAGGAGCGCAGGGAGGGAAGGCCACAGGGGGCACGTCCCCCCTGCCTAAGGTTTCAGGGGACCCGAAGGGCTTCGGGATTTACGATTAAGGGCCTGATTTGAGGGCCCAAAGGCCAGAAAGGTCGGCTGGAAGACTATTCAGAGCCCCGGCCGGCACAATGGGGCACTCCAATGCCAGCGATATTTTTGTTTGGGGGGGGGCTTTCACCATTGGGGAGCCCTTTATCAACCTTGTGCGTGCCCCTGGCCCATTGCCAAGGCTCTGGCTGCGCGCTTGTGCACAAGGTAGCATATTGATATCTGGCCGTGTTTGGTTTGTCGCCGTCATCTTTCAAAGGTGGCCGCGACACTGGTTTATGAGATGGTCGTTGCCTCGCTGATTAATTAACATGTTGGTTTCAAGCGAAACATTTGTCGACAAATATCCAAAACAGACTGTTCGACATCGTCTCTCACCGGTAAAGGGGCCCTCAGTTTCCCAGCAACCCCCAAGGAGTCCATCTGAATGATGTTCGAGGCCCCCGACCTGAAAGCCTTTGTCCCTTTGTCCTTAATTTCTGGGTGCAACTCCTGGTCCTCAATACACAGCTGAATATGACAGAAAAGTCACACACGGTCCTCTGTTATCACTATGTCCTCGGTATTTTCAATTGCCAGTGTAAGCTAAAGATGGCAGCTTTACCCCTCGAGCGACCCATCCTGTTCTTAAACGGCCAAATGGCTGCATGGCCTTCCAATTTGGCTGCGATGCCGCCATTCGTTCGGGTGGTTCTCGGTAGTGACGGCTGAGTCAGGTGTCCCGTAAAGCACGGCACACAAGTATGTGTGTGTGTGTGTGTGTGTGTGTGTGTGTGTGTGTGTGTGTGTGTGTGTGTGTGTGTGTGTGTGTGTGTGTGTGTGTGTGTGTGTGTGTGTGTGTGTGTGTGTGTGTGTGTGGTGTGTGTGTGTGTGTGTGTGTGTGTGTGTGTGTGTGTGTGTGTGTGTGTGTGTGTGTGTGTGTGTGTGTGTGTGTGTGTGTGTGTGTGTGTGTGTGTGTGTGTGTGTGTGTGTGTGTGTGTGTGTGTGTGTGTGTGTGTGTGCGGTACTTACCACCGAACGTTATGTGAAATTATGTGTTAGTGATAGCAAAAAATATTTCAGGTGAGCTGATATTTCTCTCAGACAACTTGATCCTCTTCCTGGGTAACCCAATGGTAAAAAGTTTGAAAGAGCTTGCTGAGAAATCGCTGAAGATATCGGATATTCCACGGTCTGACTCCACGAGAGAGCTGATTCTGCTGAAACACCAGAGGAGCACAGAATTCGACCTCATGTGAGTAACCCGATACAAAGATGTGCACGTAAAATTATAATATATTATACCTAACCATATTAAGATTCATCTCAGCTATAACAATTTTGCAACAGGAGTGCTGGGTATGGCGCCGATTGACAACTGAGAATAACCATCTGCTTGCCACCACGTGCATGCAAGAACAGTTGTGAGCCATGTCAGTGAGCTTAAAAAGTTGGACACCGGAGGCAACGGTGATTTCCACATTAAAGTGGGAAAAACGGAAGATTTAAAGAACATCTTCTTCCAAGCATCCCCAGCACTATTTGATCGGCTACTTGCCTAGACAGGTAAGAGCTGTGGTGGCATGCATCAAAGACTCTGCCCACACCGGCGATCGGGCTAAATTAGTTAGCTAATTCAGGTACAGTATACACTGTGGTGTACTGAAACCCATCACGCCAGCCCAGAGATCATCGCCACCAAGCGGAGACAGACCTACGCCGACTCAGACTCTGACCCCAGGCAGCGGCTAGAGGCGACGACGGCGGAGTTGAAGCGCACTGCAGCCGCGCTGGAGCGGGAAAAGGACAAGACGGACCGGTTGCTGCACAGCATGCTGCCGCCCGAGGTGGCGCACAAGCTGAAGAGCGGCGATCGTGTGCAGGAGAGCTTCGACAGCGCCACCGGTGGGTGAGCTGAGCTGTGACTGCACCGGGCAGCTGAGGTGTGGCGCCATCGGTGAGCTTTGCTGTGGCTTCATTGGTGAGCTGAGCTGTAGTACCGCCGGTGCGCTAAGCTGTGGCTCCATCGGTGAGCTGAGCTGTAGTACCATCGGTGAGCTGAGCTATGGCTCGAGCTGAGCTGTAGTACCACCGGTGCGCTAAGCTGTGGCTGCATCGGTGAGCTGAGCCGTAGCTCCATCGGTGAGCTGAGCCGTAGCTCCATCGGTCAGCTGAGTTGTGGCTTCATTGGTGAGCTGACCTATAGTACCACCGGTGAGTTGAGCTTGCCAGGGTCTCATATAGCTGACATTTTCCTCGGCGCCCCTAGCAATTATGACTTCATTCATGACCTTTTCCTCATCACGGTGGGTTACTAGAGATAGAAAACCATCGGCCTGACCACTCAGAAAGGTAGCAGGGTCCCACCCTGTGACGTGCTCTGCCGCTGCAGTGCTCTTCAGTGACATCGTCACCTTCACCGTCATCGCCTCACGCTGCCAGCCCCACCAGATCGTCCAGCTGCTCAACGAGATGTACACTCGGTTCGACGACGCTACAGAGAGCAACGGCGTGTACAAGGTGTGCTGCGCGCCAGGGACCGTCACGGATAGACAAATTCCCTGCATGAGAGGTTGTCTATCAACCAAACGAAAGACGCGGACGTGCCGGGTTCAGCGGACCTACCGTAGCCTTCGCCCTGATTCGCCGTGTTTCATAACGTTGACTAATAGGGGAGTCGATGGGGCATCCCTGGCGTTCCCGAAGTAGTAAAGATAGAGCTTAGAGAAAAAAAACATCAGGGGATTTGTTCCAATGTGATCTTGCGATCGATATTAGTTGTTATGTTGTTGGGTCAATAATTGACCTCATTATGCCGGGACAAATGTCAATGTTCCCAGAAAATTGCCGTTATTTTGGCTTCACAACACTATACATACCAGACCATACCTCATGACGACACAGAGCCTAGACTAGCATAATTGTATGTTGTATGATTTCATTAATATAACAATGTCGGCCCGCCGCTCGCGTTCGGCTGCATCGCCGAGCGTCGCCTGCCGCCCGCGCCGGCTGGAGATCGCCGTGCAAAGTCCCTCAAAAACCGTCACGGTTCTTGTGGCCGCTGAAAGAAATTCAATGTCCAAAAAAGATAGGAACACGTTTTTGATGTCAAAACACGTGGCACAAATGTCCCATAGGCTACTAAAAATATGGGCGGCACGATTGCCAGACATACGGGAGGAGCAATCTCAAAAACCTTAGAGGGGGAGGAGTGGGGGGGGGGGGGGGCACATCGACTCCCCACCCTATCAGGACGAGGGTTCATCTTCAATAGAATTCACTCTTTGTATCAAGTTTGCTTACGTTCGCCGAAAAACCATCTCTCACATGTACGCTCTCTTCCCCCCCCCCCCCCCCCCCCGATTTACGAAGCTTAACCTCGGGCGGCACGTCGACGACCAGATGGCAGCTCCACAAACGACCAGACCCATGGACATTGCAGAAGTTAGCCGAGCGAGACCCCCACCCCTCCTCCCCATCTCGCCCCTCTCATCCCGCGCTGAGCAGCCCGCGCGTCTCGCTGCTCCTCACCCCCCCCCCCCTTCCTCAGGTGGAGACCATCGGAGACGCGTACATGGTGGTGGGCGGCCATACC